GAAGGCATTGATGGACAGCCAGACAGACAAACAATAACTAATTTATATGAGCAGTCAATTAGATTTAACAGTAGTTTTAAACTAAATAAAAACACATAAAATGTTATAATAAAAACTCTCTATAAGTGTTAGAAATTTACAATAAAAAGTGTACTAAACTTTAAATTAGTCTTAAATTTAACGCATTTATTGAATTGTTTATTGTATTGAATGTTCATTAAAATAAAGTATCGACATTTAAATATCAATACACTATATATAGACATTAATTGCCGTTATATTTAAACTTCATTATCACAAACTTTATACACAGAGTATATTGCCTTAAATGATATACAATTAATAGTAATGGCATTTAAATTTAGGATAAATATTAGATAATTCTTGTTGTCATAGACTTTACTTCATGTAAATTTAATATTGAAGTGATTCATACATTACAATAATTATATAAGAATTTCAATAATGTTTTATAATAATAGTAATGCAATACTTAAATGCAAACATTGTTTTATAATTATGAATATCTCATTGTTAACTACATTATCAATCAGTCTTTACTTGCAATCATTTGTTTTATTAAATTGTTTATAACACTTATCAACTCAAATATAATTAAAGATTGTGAATAAATACCTCATATTATATGTTAATCTCGTAATTCGTAATAAATTTAATGGTATGAATTAAATGTCCCAAAATCTAGTGCCGTCTCAATACAAGTATAATTAAGTATTCATATAGAAAAGAGTCTTTCAATTGTAAATGTTATCTTTGAATCTGACCACTCGTTTCGGTTTGAAGTGGTGTCCAAAGAGTGTGTCATAAGTGTGTAAAAGATATTCACAATTAATGGTATAATAATTATAGACGAGTACTAAATACATGACAATTAGTGGACAATCAATCAAACAAACTGTAAGTCAATTGTTGTTTCAAACGGAGCGCCAAATCGAGTGTTGTATACAAAACACCCAAAACTTATAGCAATTGTCATAACGACTGAAAAGCGCTTTAATTGTAAACAAAAAACAAAT